ATCTATCTATCTATCTATCTATCTATCTATCTATCTATCTATCTATCCTGTTTCTCCAACAATACGGCCTCCCCCAATAGGAAGTCCCAGCATGTTTTATAGGCATGAAATGAAATTAAGCCCCTCCCCCCAAATTAAGGCCTATATTAAAACATGCGAAATGGGGGGAATGGTGGGGGGGGGCTTGCCGTTAGGAAATACTTTTGTTGCACACCCGGATATGGTGCTGCCTGTGTTGACCCCGATACGAAGTGCCCCACCAACGCCGAGGTCAACATCCAAGCCGTCACCGCCCGCCCGAAGATGCAAGGGGGGGGAATTAAGTCACCCCTGAAAAGACGGCCTAGCCATTTTTTTGGGGCTCAAAAAAAAATAAGACCCGGCCTTATTATATGAGAAACACGGTATCTATCTATCTATCTATTTATTTATTTTTACTTAGCTGAGAACTTTTACAGATCTTCCCACCTTGAATGTGTAACTCTGGGCAGTCAACAATACAGGTAGTCCTAGACTTATGACCACAGCCGAGCCCAAAATTTCTGTTGTTAAGTGAGACATGACTTAAATGCCATTTTGCCCCATATCACGACCTTTCCTGCCATAGTTGTTAAGGGAATCACCGCAGTTGATAAGTTAGAACCTGGTTAAGTGTTAAGTGAATCTTCCTTCCCCATTGACTTTGCTTGTCTGAAGGTTGCAAAAATCGATCACGTGACCTTGATCAATGGTCATAAGTATGAACCGGTTGGCAAGCGTCCGAACTTTGATCACATGATCGTGGGGATGCTGCAAAGGTCATAACTGTGAAAAGCCGGGCATAAGTGGCTTTTTTCAGTTCCATAAAGCCTACAGCTATATTGGACTCCTCTAATATCCCAAAAAATTAAAACTAAGGGACAAAGTCAAAAGGATGAGGGCCATCCAAAACTTATTGGTGGAAGGAAGCTGTTCCATAGAGCAGGTACTATGACAGAGAAAGCGCATCTCGTACTCTTACAAGAGGGTAATGTTTAATAAAGGAAATCTGGAGATAATTTGGTGAGATGGGCAGAAACCCTTAGAGATTGCTCCACAAATGACCTTCGATTGTACCCAGAATCATTAGTGGAAGCCAATAGCAATAGCACTTAGACTTATATAGCACTTCACGGTGCTTTTACAGCCCTTTCTAAGCGATTCACAGAGTCAGCACATTGCCCACAACAATCTGGGTCCTCGTTTTACCGACCTTGGAAAAATGGAAGGCTGAGTCAACCTTGAGCCAGTTAGGATCGAACTGCCAAATTGGAGGCAGCAGAAGTAGCCTGCAATACCGCGTTCTAACCACTGCACCACCCTGGCTCGTTGCAACTCGTGTACTGTCTTTCCCTGAAAATACAACCTACCCCGAAAGTAAGTCCTAGCTTGAGTTTTACCTGTGGTCCCACTATAAGCCCTACCCCCCCTCAAAATAAGCCCTAATTAAGACCCCACCCCCTATAGGATGCAAGGGTAAAAATTAAGCTTGGAGCTGCCCTAGTACTTACCTTCGGACAGTTGCAGCCAGGCCTCACACACACCTGCCTTGCCAGCCTATTTCTTCTGTAGCCAGCAAGGCCAGCAAGGCTTTCCTGAAGGCTTCAGCAGCTGATAAAAGAGCTCCAGATCAATCCGGAATTTTGTTATCGGCTGCTGAGGCCTTCAGGAAAGCTTTGCCAGCCACAGAAGAAGTTCCTGAAGGACTCTGACAGCGAAAAGGATGCCAGAGGTGATGCGCCCAAGTGAGGTGAATCAGTGGATGACATCCCCCCAAAATAAGACCTTGTGCTTTCTTTGGCAGCAAAAAAAATACAAGACAGGGTCTTATTTTCGGGAAAACATGGGTAGTAGTGATGTTTGCACAGGCTTGCTTTAACATGCCCAAGACTGCTGCACCACCATATTCTGCCCCAGTTGAAGCTCAGTTTTGGCTACCACACTATAAAAAAGATGTTGAGACTCTAGAAAAAGTACAGAGAAGAACCACCAGGGTGATTAGGGGACTGGAGACTAAAACATATGAAGAATTGGGCATGGCTAGTTAGTGAAGAGAAGGACCAGGGGAGACATGGGTAACAGTCTTCCAATATTTGAGGGGCTGCCACAGAGAGGAGAGGAAGCTATTTTCTAAAGCACCTGAAGGCCAGACAAGAAATAATGGAAACTGAACAAGGAGAGATTTAACCTGGAAATAAGGAGAAACTTTCTGACAGTGAGAACAATCAAACAATGGAACAGAAATTGCCTTCGGAAGTTGTGGAAGCACCATCACTTGAGACTTTCAAGAAGAGATTGGACTCCCATCTCTCAGAAATGGTGTAGGGTCTCCTGCTTGGGCAAGGGGTTGGACTAGAGGACCTTCAAGGTCCCTTCCAACTCTGATTATCTGTTACCTGTTATCAAAAGCTTCTCTGTGTTCTTCAAGGGCAGCCCTATAAAGAGTTTTATTGCAGTAATCCAAATAGTATGCTTTTAGATGGGCCGGGGGTGGATGGGCGGTATGCAGAACAGATTTTTACTCTTTGGCATGTGGGAGAATAAATGAAATTCTCAGTGAGCAGTTTGACAATCATCAGGCAGTAACACACACGGGGCTGTGATGCTTCTTTGGTGGTTTAATGTATTTATGGATGGCTGTATAAAGGATGTTTCTGGGGATAATAGATGTTACGTGGGTTGGAGGTGTCAAGTTATGCAGAGGATGTGTTGTTGGCTCAGAATCGAGTAACTGAGTTGTGTCACTCAGATTAGTCTTTTGTGTTCAGCGCTGGATGTGCTGGGATAGGCCACAAAAATGCCTTCGGGTGTTTTTTCTTGACATTATCCTGCGTGGATGGAAACAGGACAGAAGATGGTGTACACCAGTAGTGGTATGCTACCAGTTCGGCCTGGTTCGGGTGAACCAGTAGTAAAAATCAATACCGGTTCAGTGGAACCGGTAGTAAAAATAACCTCTGATCAGGTGAGAGGAGGGGAAAAAAGCCACCCACAATGATAAAAGGCCGAAAAGTGCATGGATGAGATGGGGTGGAGTCACTCCTAGCTTTTCGTTTCTTCATCCTGTCAGCTGATTGGCTTGTTAGGGGCGCACACAGTAGGGGCGCGTGCACGCATGCGATCATCCATTGAACCAGTAGCGACTAAAGTAGGATCCCACTACCGGTGTACACCCCTTGCTATGCGTATAATTTAACTTTCAACTGTGAAAAATCCATTACCTCTTCAGTCTGGGGACAAATTCAGACATTCATTTAAAACCCACGCACATACACACGTACATTGGCATGTGCAAAAAAAAAAATGGAGCAAAGAAGCAGAACAAAGATGCCGCAGATGCTTTTGAAAACTCCATAACTCGTTTTAAAAGGCTCTATACCAGGAGTTAGCAACCCATGGCTCTAGAGCCGCATGTGGCTCTTTCAACCCTCTGCTGTGGCTCCCCTGTCGCTCAAAATATGTCTCAACTGCCCATGTGTGATACCTGTCAGCGCACAATTTATTGAGCTTTTCAACCTCTGGTAGGCCAACCATGGGTAAATCCAAGAAAAGAAAAGTTTCAGAAGAAAACAGAATGTTTCATTCAACTACATATGCTAGTTTTGTGGCCGCTCAGGAAATAGTCAGGCATGGGAAGGGCTTTGGGGCTCCCGTTTTTTTTTTTTTTCTGTGGGAAACGAGTTCAAATGGCTCTTTGCATGTTTAAGGTTGCCAACCCCTGCTCTATACTTTCTGCAAAGGAAAAGAAAGATAAAAAGAGCAGAAGGAGAGAGGAAGAATGAATGAATGAGGGAGGGAGGGAGGAAAGGAGGAAGGAAGGAAGGAAGGAAGGAAGGAAGGAAGGAAGGAAGGAAGGAAGGAAGGAAGGAAGGAAGGAAGGAAGGAAGGAAGGAAGGAAGGAGGAAGGAAGGAAGGAAGGAAGGCAGCCTTGAGATGGAGCAATTTGCACAACCAAATTTTGAACTGTCTTCTAGAGATGCCAATCATCCGAGCACAAGGCTGAGAAAGATGTATGCTATTCTGTGTCTCTGTGTGTGTTTGTTTGTTTGTGTACATTAAAATCACTATTTCTCTATCTCATTGCGATATAATTCCAAAACTTTTGCAAAGGCTGGCATACAGTCCTGTTTAGCTTACTAAAGAAATTGCTTGATGCTTTCTGCTTTCATTTCCTTCAGGAAGGCCTCCATCATCTCCTTGTGGGCATCTGTCCTCGGCAACTGATGGGCATGTTTATTTGCCAGCCAACCTGAAAGTCAGATCAAACCGATTTCTATGACATGAAAAGCCTAGAGGTAAAATGTCACATGTCCCAAATTTTACCATTCAAGAGTCACCTTCTCACTAGCAAAGCAGAGGTGGTGCTCAGCAGGTTCTGGCCAGTTCTGGAGAACAGGTAGCGGAAATTTTGAGCAGTTCAGAGAACCGGCAAATACCACCTCTGACTGGCCCTGCCCACATCTATTCTCTGCATCCCAAGTCCCAGCTGATCAGCTGGGTCTTCTTTTGTTGCCTTGCACAGGAGAACAGAGCTGGAAAGCAGGTTAGTGGGGTGGGGAAGGAATGGGATTTTGTGGTATATTTCCCCTGCCATGCCCACCAAGCCACGCCCACCAAGCCATGCCACACCCACCAAGCCACAACTTGCTCACCAAGCCACACAACGCCCACCAAGCCATGCCCACAGAACCAGTAGTAAAAAAACAAATGAATTCCACCACTGTAGCAAAGGTACACCAGTTGTGTCAACGCAATTAATTTGGGTGTGGAATAAGCTCATACTCATCATTTTCTTCATGAACCATAAACTGCAGCACAGCTAGTCCTCAACTTAGGACCACCATTGAGCCTCAAAATTTCTGTTGCTAAGTGGCACAGTTGAGTTTTGCCTCATTTTACGTCCTTTCTTGCCACCATTGTTCAGGGAATTCACTGCAGTTCTTAAGTTAGCCACACGTGGCTAAGGGAATCCGGTTTTCCCGTTGACTGTGCTGGTCAGAAGGGATCGCAAAAAGGGATTGCATGACCCCACCCACAAGACACTGCCGCCACTGTAAATATGAGTCAATTGCCAAGCATCTGAATCTGGATCATGTGACCGTTGTTGCTGCAATGGTCACAAGTGTGAAAAATGTTCATAAGGGACTTTTTCAGTGCCATTGTAACTTTGAGGGCTAGACAAAATGTTGTAAATCAAGGACTACATATAATCAATTGGTACGGTTGTACACAACAGCCTAAGCTCGGGGTGTCAAACTTGATTTCATTGCATGGCCAGGGTGGACATGGTCAGCTCAACATCATTCCTGTCAGGGAGGCACCTGTGGTGGCCAAGTGCTAAGGCAGGATTTCTCTCAGACCCTCCTTCCCTCTCATTATAATCTCCTTCCTTCCTTCCTTCCTTCCTTCCTTCCTTCCTTCCTTCCTTCCTTCCTTCCTTCCTTCCTTCCTTCCTTCCTTCCTTCCTTCCTTCCTTTATTTTTCCTTCCCCCTTCATTCTCCTTTCTTCTTCCTTCCCTTCTTTCCTTCTTTTTCCTTCCTTGCTCTCTTCCCATCTTTCCTTCTTTTTCTTTGTCTTTCCTCTTTCCCTTTCTCCTTTCCTATCCCTTCTTGGATGCTCAAATGCAAAAGCGAAAACATTTCTCCTTTTGTTTTGTTTTTGTTTTGACAGCTCTCTGCCAGTGAAAATGGAGCCGGGGGGCGCACACAGCCCCCCCAAGCTCCATTTTCGCTGGCAGAGGCACCGCAGGCTGGTCCTTCACTCTTTCCAAGGCAGCCCTGCAGGCCAGATCTAAGGACCCCATGGGCTGGATTAGGCCTGCGGGCCTTAAGTTTGACATCCCTAGACTAAGCCATTGGGATGACCCAGGGCATGGCGCAAAGGCAACACAGTCACATAAGTAAGAAAAGTCCCTTTAGTACCTCCAGCTTAGCCTCCAATGTCCAGGTTACCTTCGGCTGGAGAAAAAACTCTCCCAAGAACAGTCTTTAAGTGGGAGGAAATTCAGTCCAAAAACAAAGTACATATAAACTGTAAATAAAAATCCACACAAACCACGCTGCAGGAATTAACTGGACAGGGCAGGATAAGGAATTGCAGACTTCAAAGACCAACAAAACACACACAGTTGGGAAGATGCCAGGAACCCAGATAAGCCTCGACAAAACAAGATAATACACGATTTGTTTCCAACAAGTTGCTGTGCTCAAACTCCCTTTTTAAACACTGTGTTCCCAGCTGCAGCTGATGAAGGGAATCAGGGCCCTTTCCTCCCCCGTAAACCATGCAACTCAGTTGCTCTCTTCTCTGTTCCTTCCTGTATGCCTGAGGATGAAGAGGGGATGGGCCTGGGTCTTCCTCCGAATTCCCTCTCCCTTGCTCTACCTCTTCCCTGCTCTGCCCAGCCGGACTGTGCCCTTCCCCAGTTTCTTCCACAGCCAATGGAGCCACACTCCCACTCCCTATCAGCTGCTCGGCCTCCCCCTCGGAATGACAGGGGCATGACAGCCATACAGCGAGCAACTTAGAAATATTACATTTGCATTTTTGCCATGTACAAATGTAGCTACTCAATTATAGCTGACTTGGTTTAAGTGTGTTGCTCCAAGCCAGTAAACCTTCTCAGATCTATCCTGATGGTATAACATCCATCATTATTCAAGGACAACAATACGCAAAACAGTTAAATGTTTATACACATTGTATATCAGAATGCAATAAAGGGGAAGTTAGAAATGAAATATTGATGTATAATTTTCTTTATTTTTTTGATTTCCTTAACCGACCATTTCAATTCACTCTGGGCAATTAACGGTTTTTTACAAATAAGAAACCAAAACATTTTAAAATAGTAAAAACAACAAGAACAATAGAAACAGCCAAAATAAATATAGATAGCAGCCCAGACACTTGGCCAGTTAGCAATACAGCCAGGAAAGAGGATCCTTAACAGGTTAAACTCCCCATCTTGGAAACAGTTTTTTAGAGTCTTTTGAAGAGCTAACAGGGTTGGCTTGTACTAATTTTTGCAGAGAGGATGTTCCAAAGGGTAGGGGCCACTGCAGAAAAAGCCCTTCCTTCCTTCCTTCCTTCCTTCCTTCCTTTTTTTATAACTAATAGTGGATGTTTTGGAAATCAAGTCAGAGACTAAAATCTTTCTCATATTGTTAAAATAATGGAATATACTTTTGTTTTTTTTATAATTTCTCATTAATGTTTCTCATTAATATTTTAACAATATGAGAAAAGATTTGAGTCTCTGAGCACTAACTGTACAATTTTTGGTAATTCTTTGTCTAGTTCCTATATATTTCTGCATTAATTGTTCTTTCTCTGTCTCTCTCTTTCCTTCCTTCCTTCCCTCCCTCCTTTCTTCCTTTCCTCCTTTCTTTCTTTCTTTCTTTCTTTTTCTTTCTTTCTTTCTTTCTTTCTTTCTTTCTTTCTTTCTTTCTTTCTTTCTTTCTTTCTTTCTTTCTTTCTTTCTTTCTTTCTTTCTTTCTTTCTTTCTTTCTTTTTCTTATAATTTGGTTTAAAAGAAAACAAGAAAAAGGTTATCCAACAGGATTATTAAATGGAGTTCATTCCCAAATAATTGCACAAAGGATTCCCAAACTTTCCCAATACTTTCTTTCCCAAACATGAATGCTTCTTTTTTCCCCCCCCCAGAGAAACCGAAACTCATTTGGATCCTTTCCACCCCGCTTCTAACAAGCTGAGGAAACATTTTCCAAGCACAGGAATGCAATTTCCCTTTCCGTAATGAGTGACAGATCACACATTCACACACACATTCAGAGGGGGGGGGGGGGGGGACAGAGAGAGAGAGAGAGTTTTATACAAGTCCTTTCCTCATTGGGAGGGAGAGAATGACAATATTGTGCAGCCTCAGTCCTACCGATTAAAAATCCCAGAAGAAACAAGATGACAGCTATTCCCACTGCCAGCACCCAGAATCGGACTCGAGGCCCACAGCTTCTATCCCTTGGGTAGGCGGGTTCGGTGCTTGTTCTCAAGCTGGTCCACATTCTTTCCAGAACTGTCGATTTCTCTAATGTTTTCCAGGCTTCTTCCAAACAGCCACACAGGCTCACAGGCTATGGATGGGGACAAAGTCCTTTCTGCTTTCTTTCTCCAGATCTTGGCTCCTCCTGCAGGCTCCTAAAAAGAGAAACCAGTCTCCGGAAGAAAAAGTTCCAGACTGGGCACCACTCTTGGTCCGCAGCCAAAGTGGTCGGCCTGACTCATTGCTGTTTTGGTTCAGAAGAGTTTCTTTTAGAGCGATGCAAAAGCAAACTCTCTGGGTTTTACGACTGCAACTCCCCAAAATGGCTTTTTCCCTAAAGCACATAATTTTCAAGTAACCCGATACTTCCTTGTGTAGTAAAATATTTTCTCAAGGAGGAGTTATGGGAGGCCATGGGAAAGAAAGAAAGAAAGAAAGAAAGAAAGAAAGAAAGAAAGAAAGA